GCACGGTGGCCCGGCGGGGCCCCAGTGTACCTTTCTTCTGCAGTTCTGAAGGCCCCATCAGGGGTCAGCGTGCGAAGCCCCAGCACAGGGATAGTCGTCAGGTTTGGTATGGGCCCTCGGACCTATCTGGGCGTATGGTTTAGCGGATGGTCTTGTAGTCATGGTGTGAGATGTAGGGTACGTCATATATGGATGGTTTGTCAGGTCGTCTTTAGTTTAGGGTTCTGAGGGAGTCTGCATTTGTGTGCGTAAACCAACTTTTAGTTTCTAGGTAGAGAAAAGCGTGGTCAGCGCAGAGGTTAATGGATCTGTCCTCAACTGATCAGTCGCCCCATCTAGTCTCTCGTCTCTTCATCCGAAGGTGGGGAGGGGGGAAGTCGGTCGCTCCCTGTATATCCGGCTTTCTCGTGGTGGGTTCGGGAACCTATTCAAGGCGGAGAGCGTGCGATGGTCCTCGGTGGAAGGGTGGGGGTAGGGGGTGGAGGGGGGACGGGGGGAGGGCTAGAGGACTTTGTCAAGAGCAGGGGGCCTGCCGCTGCCTGCAGCGCGCAACTCAGGGCGTGCGATGCTCGATTCGGCTCCTGGGGACCTGCGTGCCATGTAGTCAATCCAGGGACCCCATAGTCGCGCGCATTGCTCCCGGGTGCCATGTAGGTCTGACGTAAGGCTTTCCATACTGAAGATTTCTTCTACCTTCTCTGTCCATTCCGACACCGTCGGCACTGACTGCGATTTCCATTTGGCAGGGATCAGGCTCTTAGCAGCGTTCAGGAAGTGTTTCGTTAGGGACTTTTTGTATCTGCCGAGCGGCACCTTGGTGTAATGGAGCAACATCGGGAGTCCAAGATCTCCCTCAGTTTTCCGTGTATTTGTTGCCAGAAGGCGGGCACGTCCACCAGATGTGTAAGTCCGTACCATCTGCCATCCCACATCTCCAGCACCGGGCCGTCGGCATGATGCCCATGCGGCATAGCCTGGCGGGCGTCCTATACCAACAGGTCAGGATTTTGTAATTAAGCTCTTGAATTTTGGTGTTAACTGTTTCCTGGTGTGTCAGAACGTGAATTTTCTCCACTGTGACTGGTAGGGGGCCTTGGCATCAGTGTGGCCCTAATGAGATTGGCGTCCCAGACCCTCCACATCTCTCGGCGCCAGGCCCCCCGCTATCTCCGAGTTATAGACCACCGGTGTCAGGGGGGACGGGTTGGTGGAGAGGTTCAGTTTATATCACAGGCCTGACCACACCTGCAGGGTCGTCCCGACCATTAGGTGCTCACGGATGTCTCTAGTCTGTAGGGGGTGGGGGAGCTACGTTACTAACGGGAGTAGTCCTTGGGTTTGTGTGCGCTCCAAGTGGACCCAGTGCTTGTCTGTTTGGGGGACGTGCCAGTCAACTATTCGGAGGAGGTGGGCGGCATGGTAGTAGGATTGCAGGGCCGGGAGACCCACCCCTCCCAAATGTTTTGGCTGGGTCAGCTGTGTGTGCTTAATTCTAGCCGTCCCAGCCTTCCATACAAATCTTCGGATGTCCGTATTCATGGCTTTAAAGAAGGCCGGGGGGATTCTAATCAGAATAGTCTGAAAGAGGTACAAGAGCGGCAGGAGGTTCATTCTGATGGCATTGATTCTGCCGAACCATGATACGCATGATGCGCCCCACCTTAGCATATCAGAGCGTAGTTTGTAGTGGCAAAAAGTTATCTCGGTAGAGCTCACTCAGGTCCCTCGTCATCCAAATTCCTAGATATTTAATGCGATGGGTGCACCACTTGAAGGGGAAGTTCGCTTTTAGTTGGGGCAGTAGGCCAGAGGGCAGGCGTAAAGGGAGCGCTTCAGACATATCTGTGTTTATTTTCAAACTAGAGAGCTTTCCGTAGGTCTTAAATGCACTGAGGAAGTTCGGCAGGGTGATCGTTGGGTTCTCGACGAAGAAAAGCAGGTCGTCGGCATAAGCAGCTACCTTGTGTGTTCTGACCCCTATCCCGCAACATTCCCGTCCCGTCTGATTGCCTCCAGGAACGGTTCCAGCGTGAGGGCGAATAAAAAGGGGGACAGGGGCACCCCTGACGCGTACCATTCCGTATAGCGAATAACGGAGACAGGGCACCATTGATCCACAAGCGAGCCCTCGGGAACATATACAGGGCCGTTATCCACATTAATACGTATGGGCCAAAGCCCATTGCCTGCAGGGTTTCGCTCATGAATTGCCAGTCCACCCGGTCAAACGCCTTTTCGGCGCTGGTCGAGAGGAGGAGGCACCCACGGGCGGTGTTCCGGGTGGCGTGAATGATGTTGAGGGCTCATACTGTATTATCTTTGGCCTCCCGGCCCGGGGTGAAGCCCGTCTGGTCTGGATTCACCAGGTTCAGGGCGACTCAATACACACGAAGAGCCAGGATCTTAGTAAAGAGCTTGAGGTCCACGTTGAGGAGGGAGATGGGTCTGTAGCTAGTGCACTCAGCAGGGTCTTTCAGGATGACCGCCACGGTCGCCATGAGGGTATCCCCCGGGAACCTCCCCCCCTCTAAGATGGAGTTTAGCCCCGTTAAGAGTTCAGGCATAAGGATCTCCCTAAAGTTCTTAAGGTATCTAGCCGGGAGGCATCCGGGCCTGGTGCCTTATTGATCTTAGTGGCCTTAAGGGCTCCCAGGAGCTCACCCAGCGTGATTGGGGATTCTAGGTCTTCTTTTTGAGACTGGGAGAGCTTCCGGTGCACATGTTGTTCCAAATAGGACACCTGGCGGGTCCTCCACCCGGAGGAAAAGGACTTCTCCTACTATTCCACGGTCCACCAAGGATACAGTCGCCTTGACTATATTTTTGTCTCCCAGGAATATTTGCATCTCCTCCAAACCTGCGATATCCAAACGGCAATCTGGACGGATCACTCCCCAGTCCAGATTCCGCTCCCCCCTATTCAACCCCAGCGGCAAACAATGGAGGCTCGATGAGCAGGCACTAAGGGACTCACTGGTTGCCGCTGAAACAACGGATGTGCTAGGCCAATATTTCGAAACCAACACCACGCCGGACATCTCCCCATTGATGAGATGGGAAGCGCATAAATGTGTAATCTGAGGCCATTTCATCAAGATCTGCACCAAGCGTAAAAAGGAATACTACAGACAACTGGCGGATCTATGCGCACGTACCGTGCACCTAGATCGGGAGCATAGGTCGGCCCCCTCGGAGGACGCCTACTGGGCACTACTGGAAGCACGCAGAGACCTGAAGAAGCTTCTCACACAACAATTGACCCATACGCTCCGCAAATCGCGCAGGTACATCTACCAAGTGTGGCCGCATTCTGGCCAAAATGCTACAAAAGAAATGGAGACTAGAAATGGAGACTAGATTTGTATGGAAGCACAGATTACTACGCTCCAGACGAAGGGAGGCTTCGCAGAGCGTGTCTTTGGTGACCCTCCGGCAGGTTGTCAGAGTGTGCGGAATGACCCTTGGATGTGTCCCAACAGGGTTCCAATGGTACGCTGAGGTCTCCCGCCACCACAAGGAGCCCCTCCCGAAAGTGGTCCAGCAACCTCAGGGTTCTCGCAATGAAGCGGTGTCGATTCATGTTTGGGGTGTACAGGGAGGCAAATGTGTATTTCCTATCTGCAATTGTGCCCTTAAGGAACAGGTAGCGCCCATTTGGATCCGCCATCTTCTCTGTGCAGTGGAACGGTGTATGTCGGGCGAAGAGTATCGCCACTCTGGCTCTTTTGGAGTCTGGGTGATTGACAAAGAACCCGGTCGGGAATCTCGAGTCCCAGAGAGTAGGTGGGTCTGGTCCTTTAAAGTGGGTCTCCTGCAGGAGTGCCACCGAAGCCCTAGCGGCCCACAGGGTCCGCAACAGGTGCAAGCGTTGCTCTGGGGAATTTAGTCCCCTGACATTATTGGTCCAGAAGCATAGGGGGGCGGGGCAGCACCCCCCACCACTCGACCGAGCCATCGGGTTCCCAGCAAGAGGGATGGGAGGACGGAGGGTAGGGGGAGGGTTTGTAGTGGGTGTAGGCGGGAGGGAGGTGCTGACCTATATAAGGTAGGGAGTGGAGGGGGGTCTAGTTAGGTAGTCTGTCTTAGGGTCGTCCTAGTCCAGTAGGGTAGTAGAAAGAGGACTTTGACTGTTTGGGAAGAAGTACCCTTCAGGGGGGAGTCCCCACCCCTATACGTGACTCAACCCCCCCGTGTCCCTTCCCACTAGCACCCGCAGTCAGTCCTGAGCGGTCGTGCGCGGTGTCCGCGCGAGTGAGTGAGCTATTTCGCTCAAGTGTAGATGAACAGTAAAGGAGTATGTCCCAGTGACTCTCGGAATCCCACCCCGACCGACAGCATTTGTATTGAACAAACATTAATAACTAGTTTTAAACTTGGTTCTAGGTAGAAACAATACAGGGGAAGGGGGAGAACCGTCCCGGAGTCACCAGGGTCAATCAGAGGGGGCTCCAGTGCTGCTCGGCCATGAGCCTAAAGATTGGGGTACACAGCGCTATCGCCAACCGCCCAACCTAAGCTCTGGTTCCCTCTAGGACCCGCTACTCCCTCTAACCCTGGCGTAGCCCCAATACCTTGCTCCGAGGCCAGTCTCACGATGCCCGGGGAGCCTATTCTTCCGCTCCGGCAGGGCCTCCCCACATTCTCCTGGGAGGCTCACTCGCCTGCGGCCTCATGGAGTGTGGGCCTTGGTCATCTTGGCTGCCTCTCTGGGCCAGCGGTGTCTCCATCAGCCAGTTTCGAATGCGCATAGGGGGGATGCGGAGGGTCCTCAACACCGGTGTCACGTCGTCCGGCCAGCGAATGTGGAGCCAGGAATTGCCGTTCCTGACCTGCAGACTGAAGGGCAAACCCTAGCGGTAGGTGATGTTCCTGTCTCTGAGGGCTGCTGTCAGTGTCTAATGCGTCTAATGTCAGACTAGAGAGATCCTGGAATAGCGCCACGTCCGAGCCCTGGAATGTGATTTTGTCCATGCCTCTAGTTGCGGACATCAAAGACTCCTTCAGGCTGTAGGCATGCAGGCAGCAGAGGACATCTCTGGGTCTCCTGTCTTGTCATTGGGGACCGAGGGCTTGGTACACTCTGTCAAATTTAATGTCCGTGGGGGACTCTCTTCCCAGGATTTGATTGAAGAGGGCCCGGACCATCTCCGGTAGAGGTGTGGAGTCCGGATCCGGATGTTGTGCCAGCGACTGCGTTTCTCCAGTTCTTCTACATGGCGGCGTATGGTGAGGAGGAGATTGCCTTGGCGTATGGTGGCAAGCTCAGTGGCTCTGTGTTGCGTTTGGCAGGCCTGCGCTTCATTCTCCAGGGCTTCCACACGCTCCTCGACTGCGTTCAGGTCAGTGCGCAAGGCCGCCATCTCCTCCCGCACCACTGCTCGGAACTCCTGCATTAGTCCCCCGGTATCCGTCTTCGAGAGCATGCGGTCCGAGATTGCAGCCAGTTGCTGGCGGATTAAGGTAAGTGCGTCTTCTCGGCCCCCTCTCTCCGCCATTTCACCTGTGTTTTCCCGCCATCTTGTCTGCTGCGTTAGCGGCTCGAGGTTCGGCCTGCGAGGACACAAAATCGTCCATTGTGCCTGTGGGTTTGCATAGGGAGCTTGCTGATGGTGTGCCCAGGGATATAAGCTTCTTGTTGCGAACCATTCTAATTTGTTGTTCAGTTGGATTATAGCTTTTTTAGCGGCTCGGGGCAAGGAGCTCGAGCACTATACGTCTAGCCACATGCTTGGTCCGGCCACGCCCCCACCTATATGGAATCTTAACTATTTAGAGGTTCTCCTTTTTGGAGAGGGGTTATCTCTACTCCATTCTAGTATTTATTTTTCAATTATTTTAGGGTTGATGCCTTTGAGTTCCTCAGAAACCAGTCTAGCTAGTTTAGCACTGTAGCCTCTCTTCTCCCCTTTTTTGGTTCATAATAATGACAATAGTTTGCTTCTTTCAAGGTTAGCAGGTAGAAAAAGTAAATATATCTCCTGTGCCTTCTTGATATCGCTGCAAAACTAACCTCCTATTTTCTCCTGATATCACTGGTTTACTGTCTGCTCTCCTTGGACCTCACTGCTAAGCTTTCACTGCTGGCATCAATACTAGAATTATCTCCTTTGTTTGTCTGACATCTAACATACTTATCGATTCCAGTGCTCCTTCTCGCTGATTTGGAAATGATTCAGAAGCCATGTGCTGATTGTACATGTCTATTTATTAGAGCTCGTGCCTACGTCCGAATGGTGTGTCCCAAAGTGCCTATTCAGAGCATGCAAATAAAGTAGAGAATTACGCAAATCAACAATCCACTGACCTCGTGTCTTCTGGCGCTCCTCGAGAACAAATCCTAATAGAGCAACAAGTATTTAAAACCCAGCCTTCTCGTCCCAATCGTTCTGTTGTGGTTCTTGTTTATCTCAATAGTGCATTTGTGATATTTCTGATCTTGTGTTACTGACCCTGGCTTGAATACCATTTATTTTGTTCTCTATATTCCTTATATTTGGCTTTGCTAACATTTACTCAAATTTCTACTACGATGACCTTGGCCCGGCTACTCTAAAGTCTGGTAATATCAACTATAGTATACTCTGTTCTAGATTAGGGTCTGTGTGTTTGGGCTCCTTCACATATACCATGACAACATCATTGCTGGAATTAACCCCTGCACTTTTGTGGCTTCAAATTTTTTTTCACATTTTCTATGGAAATATATGCAGGGGAGGGTGAATTATGCATAATATGCATTCTCCTTGTCCCTCTATCAATGCCAGGTTTGAAGAAAGTGGTAAATCCAAAAATTAGATGGAGTTCATTTCAGCGACAGCGGTAAATTATTCGAAATCTCTAGTTGATCCAGCTATCCATGAAATTATTATTTTATGAGTTGACTGTTCCTTTAAGTTTGATTGAACATGGTAATTTTCAAAGAATGATAAACAGTCTGCCTTCAGTCTTAGACAGATAAATAAAATTGTTACACTTACACAAAATCAATATTATAGACTGGCCATTTCAATTGCAAACCCTAGTCCAGTAGGAATATTGTGGTTTGAACTCAAGACATTAGTGAAGAAATAAAAACCACGAACTTCCAACTGAATATGTGAATGTCCAAAAAAGTCCATTACTTTATATCCTTTGTCTTGAAAGTCAGCTTTGTTGGAGGGTAAGTGAGGATTATCACTGAGAAATTCTTAGGGAGAAATTAAAATATTTCCCTCAAGAAAGATGGACAAAATTAACTAAATACAATTTGTGTTCTGTGAATCACATCTCGTAGACAAGGAACTTAATGAAAGCTTCCAGATATCTTATTTTGATAACAAACATATGGACATACACTCATCACATGTATGGAACAGAACAGGTGGTGAAACTAAATTGGGCTCCCTAAGCAATATGGTTGAACATTGTTACAAAATAACATTTAAAAAAATCTAAGAACATTAATCTGAAATATGACTTTCTTTATGTACTGAATTAAGGCAAATACGATGCATGTTTGATTTTTGAAACAACCTACAACCTATAAAGGACCGATCACATCTCAAAATTATAATTTAACCACCTTTGTTGCCAAGTTCCATTCATATAAAACCAAATGTAGCATTCATTAGAAACCTTACATGGCTGGCACAATAATGGAGGTAAGGACTTTGTATACAATATGAGATTGACTTTATATGCAATCTTTTAAATAGTGTGAGTGACAGAAATATTGGTGCAGAAATGGGAATATAATGCGTCATGCAAAAATAGAAAATTAATTATACTTAAACACCCTACTTATGGCTACTTGTAAGGAGTTGGATGGCATTTTAATGAATGTAACTTCCTAAAAAGGCCACCGGAATGCAAAACAATGTTTGTGTATATTGGCTTGTACACAGAATTACAGTTAATTGGCTAATATCAGACATATTTAATATAGAGGCTATTGTAGCCCGCAAATAAGCCCTGTAGAATTCTCAGTGCCTGCATCTTAACCACTCCCTGGCTGGTAAAAAGCAGCCACTGTAACTTAATGTACAGTAAAAGAGAAAGGAATCCTGGTATTTTCAGTCCCTCTGGCATTGTTCGTTGGTATTTAGGACTGATTCCCATATATAAGACTGTTAAGCCTTGAATCCCATAGTAATTATTTCAATAGGTGTACCCCCAGCACTCCTGAAGCAAATTACTATTCATCATATGCTTCTAGGGTGCTTATATGTTTTCACAATTTTTCAAGATGATAGGAACACTCCAAATATCATAATCACTATAGCCAACAGCTAGGAGCTTCCGCTAAGGTTCCTGAGCTATATCCTAAAGTTCAGGACCAGCTCATTGGCTGAAACTGTCAGCTGATCCCTCTCAAACAATGGCATTGTAAATGACTCGACCTTAGGGAGCGCCAGGCACTCCAGGCACCATAACCACTACAGCGTGCATGGAGTCTTTGTTTAAGTGTCTGGATTATTAACGTGGTAAAATTAATAAACAATGTTGCTAAATTTACCAACAAATTGCCAACTTTTTCCAAAACATCAGAGCTGAAATAAAATCTTTAACTAATCTAACAAATTATCAGCTTCAACTAATGTTTTGATCTAAATTTTGCAATTTGGTTAAATTTTATATCACACACCATTTTGCTATGTAGAGAACAAATGCTTAAATGGACACTATAGTCACGAGAACAACTACAGCTTAATGCAGTGGTTCTGGTGTCTATAACCTGTTCTTGCAGGCTTTTTAACATAAACATAGTGTTCACATTGGTAACTAGTAACACCTTTAATGGCAGTCACTCAGGCAGCCACTAGAGGTGTTTCCTGTGACAGTGCTGCACGCTCTTGATGGAGTCACTGAAATTTCCCCATAGAGATGCGGTGTTTTGCCACGCATGCACAATAGCTTCTTTATCTCAGCCACAGAGGCAGAACCAGGCAGGTCAGCCACATAGGAAAAAAGGTGAGTAAACTACCTTTCAAGGGGGTCCAGAGACCTAAGCAGACACACCTGCACTGTTTGTATTCCTAACAATATAATGTTCAAGGTATAATGTGTCATTCCCTGATCTCACACAAATCATCATTCTATTGTCAATATTTTCTTCTAAAGATAGACCATTGTCTGGGGACAGTTTGTAAAGCTTGTTACATTAGCTATTTATATATATATATATATATATATATATATATATATAAACTAATAATCTTGTGCAGAGAGAGCCATCCTGTATTTTGGATCTGTTCTGCCCTTTTGGGTAGAATCACTCTGAGATGCATGGCCTGGTTCTCTCTGTAATGGCACAAGATGAGCTGAAACCAGCTTGAGAACTGAGCGGGTACCCACCCACAGCAGGCTAATTGAGCTGTTGTCCGTTCTCAGCATTCTCTTGCTACTTGCTTTTTGCTCTTTATACTAATATATACATATATAAACAATGTCATAGCAAACGGGCACACATATCTATGGAAAAATAAAAAATTACTAAAATATACAATATTTTTATTTAAAAAAAACAACTAAATATGAGTAATCCAAAAGTTTTATAATTGATGAGCAATGTTTAACAAACTCAGGTAACGTAAATTTTTGAACCCTCTGATTGTCACAGAGGTATGATCCATGAATTGCGTTGATCACCCATCTGTAGCACAAATGGTTAACGAGTCTATAAGTGTCTGCAGGATAGTACGGAACGCTCAATGCAAATGGCTGTAAGTAGCTTTTCTGCATATTGACTTCTGTGCTCATTGACTGATTCTATTCCCAGAACAGAGGGATTTGTGCATTCTGGATAACATCTAAAACATTGGTTGTACTTTATGGCTAAAAATCTTTAATTTGTTAATCGATAATTCCATGTTATCCCCCTTTTGAACTAGGATTTATTTTTCTCCCTTTCCGAGTAGTAATGAAGTCTAAGTTACAGGTTCTTATACATTGATGAATTTCTGACTTTTTACTTGGTTACTTTCAGTTTATTCTCAAAGTTCGAGTAAGAATTCTAAGCATTTGTTCCGTATGCAAGGAAAGATAATTGTTTTAATTGTTGTGCTGGAATTACTGCTAATGAATGCAGTAAATCAAGGCTTAAATCGGTGAAAGGGTTATTTACTAAACTGTAAATTGTTGGCAATTAGCTCACATCGATTTGGCTATTTTGGTCTATATCTTGTTTGGGAATTTTTGATAACTCACAGTTTAGAGAATATTCCTTTCAGACCATGATTAACTGTGCTATAAAATTTTGTCTGAACGCAAACTTATAAAATGTATTTATTTTAGAAATTTGCTAAATGCAGTTAGGTTGCAGAATTTTCTAAATGGATTAGCTTTAGGCAAGTATGGTCTCCTTAAGTAGAATCCAATTTTTTGAGAAAGTAAAAGTATAGAAATTATACAGTTTATCGATACCTAAAGTGCAATCAGAATGCACCCATATTTTATTTTACGTTTGGGAGCAGGTTCAGTTCAGGGTATTGAATTGAACTGGTAACTAAAATATACAGGGTCTGCTGATTGTGAGCAATAACATTTAACCCCTCAAGGACACATGACATGTGTGACATGTCATGATTCCCTTTTATTCCAGAAGTTTGGTCCTTAAGGGGTTAAAGGGAGACTCCATTGCTCACATAACAATAAATCAATTAACAAAATAAAAATCACTGTTTAGTAGATATATTCCCTAGGAAAACATGCATGCATTTTATTGGTGTATATCTGAAAACAGCTGGCAAAAAGCTGCAGATCTCTTGTCTAAAGCATTTGCGAGCCCTCCCCTTCTTCCCCAGCACAGACTTTCTGTGGCTGTATAATCTTTGCCTTGCCAATACAGCTCAATGAGAAGTCTTTGCAAAGCAGGTGATCTGGGCAATTGCTGCCTCTTGTGTTTAGCTCCACTGAGCTAAACAAACCAGGAAGTAACAGATCTGGTTGTCTGCCAGGTTGTGTAATAAGGGTAAATTTTAAAAGCACCAATTTCTATTGAAAGAGTTTATATTTCATAGGTCAAGGGGAGAGAGTTGCAAAAGCCTGACTGAAAATAAACAGTTATGCAAGTGCTTAGTAGATTTACCCTTAAAAACAAAGTTGTCAGGGTTCTACAAATGCCCCTACAGAGGGCTAATGTAAGAGATATATAGCCCCAGTGTTCAAAACATACAGAAGGGAATATATTTATATAGTCAAGGAGCATCCCATAGTACCTTTTAGTTCCCCCTTAGAAAAGACACTGTAATAAATGTTTTTCTGTTCTGCAGTCCTGTATCCCATATTCAGCAGATGCAAATTTATCCAAGTATCTATAAAAGATGCAATAGAGTTGCAAAGCAAAACACTGTTACATACGGTTCAAAACTCTTACATTGAACAGTTGTGAATCATATTTCTATAATTCACCAAATGAGCATGTAAAATCAAACTAAGGGCAACTGCAAGTACTATTGGATACTCCTTAACTAGATACGAGGCCTGTCTTGGAAAAGTCCAGCCATCGTTAATATAACAGGGACGGTTTGTGCGATATACATATAACTTGGTAGCCTAGGAGAGTGGTCTGGAAAGTGCATACATGACGAATGATGACTATACTGTACTAGTCCTGATATTATTTTTAAGCCTTTGCCCCTCTAATTTAAGACTATGTTGTCTTGTTGTGGTAGCCTTTCTTCTTTTAAATATAGTCTCCTCCTTTACTGTGTTGAATCCCTATATGTATTTGAATGTTTCGATCACATCCCGCCTGTCTCATCTTTCCTCCAAGCTATGCATGTTAAGATCCTTTAACCTTTCCTTGTACGTTTTATCCTGCAATCCATGAACCAGTTTAGTAGCCCTTCTCTGAACTCTCTCTAAAGTATCAATATCCTTCTGAAGATACGGTCTCCAGTACTGTGTACAATACTCCAAGTGAGGTCTCACCAGTGTTCTGTACAATGGCATGAGCACTTCCCTCTTTCTACTGCTAATACCTCTCCCTATACAACCAAGCATTCTGCTAGCATTTCCTGCTGCTCTATTACATTGTCTGCCTACCTTTAAGTCATTTGAAATAATTACCCCTAAATCCCTTTCCTCGGATGTGTAGGTTAGGACTCTTTCAAATATTCTGTACTCTGCCCTTGAGTTTTTATGTCCAAGATGCATTATCTTGCACTTATCCACATTAAATGTCAGCTGCCACAACTCTGACCATTTTTCTAGTTTACCTAAATCATTTGCCATTTGGCTTATCCATCGTGGAATAAGTGTCTTTAGTATAATCAGCAAAAAGACATAACTTACCATCAAGACCTTCTGCAATACCACTAGTAATAATATTAAAGAGAATGGGTCCAAGTACAGATCCCTGAGGTACCCCACTGGTAACAAGACCATGCTTCGAATATATTCCATTGACTACAACAGATGTTCAACAATCCTATCCTTTAACATGGTTTCCATTAATTTCCCCACTACTGAAGTAAGGCTTACTGGCCCATAGTTGCCCAACTCCTCCCTACTACCTTTCTTGTGAATGGGCACAACATTCGCTAACTTTCAATCTTCTGGGACTACTCCTGTTAACAATGATTGGTTAAAAAAATCTGGTAATGGTTTTGCTAGTACACCACTAAGCTCTTTTAATAACTTTGGGTGTATTCCATCAGGTCCCATTGACTTATTTATCTTCACTTTTTACAGTTGAAATAGAACCTCTTCCTCTGTAAACTCACATGTAAAATACGACAAGGCAGCTAATGGAGATTCCAACAAACGATCTTAAAGAGTGTTGTGAACAGTGGAAGAGACGCTGGGAGAACTGCATGAAGTCCCAAGTTGCCTACTTTGAAGGGGACTGAGACATCATTGTCCTACGTACCGTGTTTCTTGTATCTGGTATCTTCTTGAATAAATGTCTTTATTTTTTATATTACATGGCTGAATACTTTCCCAACAGAACACTGCGGCAACATATCTTTTACATTAGCCCTGTGAACAGGCATTTGTAGAACCTTGACAACTTTGTAAAGGTTCTACAAATAGTAGGGGTAAATCTACTAAGCACTTCCATAACCTTTAGTATTTTGTGTGCTTGAAAACAATTTGTTTTAAAGGGTTTTTTGTGCAAATAAAAGTAGATAGAATGGTATATTGATTCAATAAAAGTAAATTGAATGGTATATTGATTTAAAAAAATATATATTTATTGCGCTTTTTAAAAATAGTTTATGGTCTAAGAAACATAACCATAGTTGTAGTTGGCATGGTGTTAGTAGTCTAAGGGTATTATTTTCTGGTTTTATGTTATTCTTATTTAGCCACTTGGCAATAAAAAAAAAAATAGGGGGCCTGGCAACTCACTGAGCAGAACGCAGGGAGAGGGAGCTCCTCAATCTGAACATCCTTTTTTTGCGCAAAGAGAGACATTTTGCCTTGTAATTCTGGCTAAAACTTGCATACCTCAAGCTGGAGACACGTAGGCAACCTCTTGAAGTAAAAACCCGATGGCAAACCATACTCATGGAGACAAGGGCCCCCTGAGGCCTGCAAACTGCTACTGGGCGGGAGATGCGGCCGGTCTTCCGTTCATTACTCGAACAGCAGACAGCATGGGTCTCGCTTTCCCCCCCTCTGGGCCAGTGGGGGTTATCCCGGTCCCCGCAGGGCCACACGGCTGTGAGCTACCCTCACGAAGCACGGAGCACAAAGCAAAGACACGCAAGATGGCGGATGAGCATATAACACAAGACACAGTGCAGCGCAGAGGCGATATGCCCGACCCGCTCGAAAACCTTGAGGCGCATCTGGAGGCAGCCTTTAACACCTTTTGGACTAACCTGAGAGAACGCATGAAGCAGGTGCCCCAGACAACAAAACCGCAGGTGAGAAAGCGGAAACCCGACAAGGCGAGACCTGAAAAACTCCCCAAAGGCAACCCGACCGCACGACCAGCACGCCATACCACTAAATGCCTTCCTGGGCCTGGGGCCATCAGGGGTAACGCCCCCAAGCACCGACCACACACACAGAAGGGTCCACACCAACAAAAAGCACCCTTACATGGCAGAGACCCCTGCAATCTAAACCTAGACCCAAGGAGAGGCAGGGTTAGAGGCAACATGGTGCAGGCTTTGGAGCAGACCCGGGGCATGGGAAGTGTCTCACCACAACATAACAGCACAACCCGCTACACGGAGTTGCTGAGGCACCGAGGAACCCCTGAGGCATCCGAGCAAGCCGTAAACCTGGACGCTGCCTGAAGAGCCCTAGTGACCTACACGCCACCCCAGTGCAGATCTGGAGTCGGCTGAACCCGAGCCACACTGAAGGTCGCGGCCGCGATACAGCGCCCAAGTACTGGGAGGGGGTAACGGTACCATCATACGGACACTTACCTTACATTTTTCCTGTGAAGGCCATCATCTACACACAACCAACAGTGAAGGGACCGTACTTGCCTGGTGCCAAAAAGACTAACAACATTTGAAATTGCCAATGCTATACTCATCCCTCAGCAACTATGCAGCAGGCTGGAAAAAATAAAACTTTATTTGGACATTTACCTACATCAGTATCTTAGAAAAATGAGATAGTCACTTAAATTATGTCTCATCTCTTCACTATCTATCCCTCCTATTCTCAACAAGATAAGCAAACTTCACTAACTACCTGCTCCAGGACAATACCTACTGAACACTTATGCAGCCTGACAGCGGGTCCAACCGCCCTAACTCACTACACACTTCACCTATTACATGGTTTTTCCTCATACTAGCTTTAGGACAAGAGCAGTCTGAGTAATCTCTCAATATAGCACTCTACGATTAAGTTCAGCCTGTGTGAATGTGTTTACTCATTATAAAACTGTGGTAGCCTTTCGTTACTTTACTTAGAGAATCATAGCACACAGTTTAGACACAGTTAGAATGTTGCCTAAATGGCCTGTAAACCCCTTACAACTAGCTAACGCATTATGGATGACTAGTAGTTTAACCTTCATTGTTACCTTAATATATAAAAAGTATGGTGACTTCGTACCAAGCGGGTAGATAGTGGGTTTCCATCACGCACATGAGGAGTGGAGGGCCGGTGGGTGGATCCCAGATCCTTCCTATCACTGGCCATGACCCCCCCATGGGACACCTTGCCCCGATGGGAGACAAAGCACATGGATTCACACACTCCCTTGTTAACGTAGACCTTTTACGGGACACACACGTGCTGAACGAACGTCAGCACGGCGATACATAGCCCTACTCAATAACCACATGGACGGTTAACACGTACCTGGAATCCCAAAGTAAAGTACGGGACACTGCACACCGACAGGCGACCAAGGAGCTGACACAACATACTAGATCAGACCCCTGACATGCCTATAACGGGAGACAGTACCTGACAGCGATCTAAACTACAGTACCTTACACGCACAGCACGATCCACCACAAAACGACTAGATAATCCCCGAATACCACGTACCGACTACTCACCTACTCCGATGCGAGGAGGAAAAGAGGAGCCCAAGGACGGACTCTTCTAGACCTACGAAACCTTTCTCCCCCTTTCATTTCTATTTTATACACAATTACCTTCCCCCCCCCACTTAACCGACCCATGGCATAGGAACACGGGATCCACACTGAATGACTAAATGCGGTATATACAATCACACAGGAGGTCGCGATAAGAACATGAAGTGTAACCAATGGATATATATAGGGTTCCACCCCGAATCTAACCAGTGGGAAAACACCAACATACCATCTAATTACATACCGCATATACACTAGACATGTCTTATGCTTATCGTTTTACGCATGACCTTAAAGCCGCAACTGCTACATATTGCAATAATTTGTTGAATATTCTGGACTGCCGTATAATGCATGTTATGTTATGTCACAACGTTTTACATGGAGGCCTGCGAGCCTCATTTTCTATATCTCCTCTTTCTTTATTGAACTTTCCTCAATAAAAACAGATTTACAAAAAAAAAAAAAAGTATGGTGACTCGTATAAGCCTGGTTAACTCTTAACATGTATAAATTGTACTGCATAAACTGTGCAGAAGAGTGATGTCCCGAACGGTTCACCGAACGGTTCGCCACTAACGGTTCGCCACGCACTGATCATTGAGTAAACTTTGACCCTGTACCTCACAGTCAGCAGACACATTCCAGCCAAACAGCTGCAGACCCTCCCTCCCAGACCCTCCCACCTCCTGGACAGCATCCATTTTGAAGCTGCATTCTTAGTGAGCTGTCCAGGAGGTGGGAGGGTCTGGGAGGGAGGGTCTGCGGCTGTTTGGCTGGAATGTGTCTGCTGACTGTGAGGTACAGGGTCAAAGTTTACTCAATGATCAGTGCGTGGCGAACCGTTAGTGGCGAACCGTTCGGTGAACCGTTCGGCGAACCGTTCGGGACATCACTAATGCAGAACTGTGCATTATCACACTGTTTAACTTGTTGTGCCTAGCCTGTTGCAGGATTTATTAATCGGATTATCAAACCAGAATCACTTACTCACCCAACGGGGCTACGCATGCCAGCCTGGTAAATTTTTATATATATATACACGCGACTCACAAGCAAGTATCATATTGAAGCTTACACATAGCTGCACACACAGAAATAGCCAATACTGACCACACAACCTGTAGGCTCGATGTGTTAGAACATGCATAGCCATCTTGAACCCCAGCTACTTTAACACATAAGGGTGTGCCTGTCCTAAACGTATTCTAATTAAACTTTTAGCTCAAACCTGTACACCTTCCACAGCAATAACCGTTATAGCTTTAATCTGTTATTAATGTACCTAGTTGTTATTCAGCGGTTTTTGAGAAATAATCTGTTCCAGAATACATAAATATAAAACTGTGCATGTGTCATCATGTACCTACATGTTACAATTGACTGAAATGCATTGAAGGAACGCCGTTGGGGTACCTTCATATGTGACTGTTATATGAAAGTGCACTGCAAAAATAAAGAATAAAAAAATAAAAAAAAATAAAAAAAAATAGAAGGCCCTTTAGGCACCCATGGTTCTGGTCCAGTCATTTGTTGTCAATTTAAAAGTATTTACACTACCTTATTATCAATCTCAATTTCTGACATTTTTGAAACACAATGATAGGCTGAGCATTTCTGCTGATCCTTTCAGCCAATGACTGCCATTCAAATACCAACAAAACTGCTAATGCGTGATTGTAAATGGCTGGTTGCTTCACACTCAATCTAACCATCAAGCCAATCAGGTTTTGAATTTAACTGTGAGTCAGTTGATGAAACAATCATTTTAACATGCTTTCTTTCCACCAATCTAATCATTTTCATTGGCCACTCATGTATAATAGTAGCACTTGATTGTAAATTCAAACTACAAACATTCAATTAGATAGATTTTTGGAACCGGTCTATAACATTGATTCTGCATAAATATAACCATTCTATAATCCTGTTTGATTCTAATTCCTTGTATTGTATTCCAGTAAAGGCTGCATGCTAGTGCCGCACAGTACTGCTAAATTTATTTACATTTTTTTTTTTTTAAAGTTTAAAAAATAAATACTGGATATTTTCATTACAGTACATTTCACAAGGAACTTTGCAGCTGAAGTATATTTCCAGCGGGTTAAAGAGTTTCTTCTGCAGTAGTCAAGAGTTTGAAAGTGTATTTGCTGTTTGTAAAATTGAATTGTATCTATATTATAGGAGTAGCACATGGTTTTAAGGACAATGTCTTTATAGCGACATTGTCATAGCGAACACAAATTTGTTTCAATGTAATTAGTGTATGCATTTTGTATATTACTGCCTTGTAATTTTATGTAAAAGAAATACATATACTTTTCATATTTTCTTAAAGGGACACTCCAAGCACCAAAACAACTTCATCTAAATGAAATTTTTTTTGGCATAAATCTTGAAGCTAATGAGACTAATCATAATGTCCCACTAGATGTACAATGACAAAATGCCAACATTGCAATTAACCATTTTAGTGCTAAGGCAGTAAGCAGCACAATGCACTACTCGCCTTGGGGCTGAAATGACAAAATAAGTTACAAAAAATAAAATAAAAAAAGGATAGCGTCCATAACACCTCAAGGGTAACCCATAAGGTGCCAAGTAGCTGTCTCTCCAGGATTTACTGTATGACACATGGGGGATTAAAATAAAAGACTTTAGGCTCCTCGGGATGATTAAATTAAAGGAACACTATAGTCACCTAAATTACTTTAGCTAAATAAAGCAGTTTTAGTGTATAGATCATTCCCCTGCAATTTCACTGCTCAATTCACTGTCATTGAGGAGTTAAATCACTTTGTTTCTGTTTATGCAGCCCTAGCCACACCTCCCCTGGCTATGATTGATTAAAAAAAAAATGGTTTCTCATTCAAACAGATGTAACTTACCTTAAATAATTGTATCTCAATCTCTAAATTGAACTTTAATCACATACAGGAGGCTCTTGCAGGGTCTAGCAAGCTATTAACATAGCAGGGGATAAGAAAATCTTAATTAAACAGAACTTGCAATAAAGAAAGCCTAAATAGGGCTCTCTTTACAGGAAGTGTTTATGGAAGGCTGTGCAAGTCACATGCAGGGAGGTGTGACTAGGGTTCATAAACAAAGGGATTTAACTCCTAAATGGCAGAGGATTGAGCAGTGAGGCTGCAGGGGGATGTTCTATACACCAAAACTGCTTCATTAAGCTAAAGTTGTTCAGGTGACTATAGTGTCCGGGCAGAAGTCTCCCTTCTTCTTCTACCCCAAATGTGAGGGTGGAGGGTAGTAATTAACCATGAAGCTACCTGACCAATGCCTACTACACGTGCAGCTGGTGAGGGTGAGAGAGCAGTTCTGTATTCTTAAAAGTTGGGTTTCATAAACCCTAGATGCATTTTTTTTATTTTTCCTTTAACTTATGTAATTTTGGTTACAAATAGAAAAGTTGTTTGCAAGATTGCAGATGTAATTTGCCACTGCTGTCTTGTTTTCAGTCACACTATAACAAATAGCACAGATTTGGTTTATTTCTAAATAAGAGTAACCTAATATGCAGTTTTTAAAGAGCTCAAGTAAATCAATTTGCATTTCCAAATAATAATAGAGCCATTAATTAATTAATAAATACAGGGGAATGACTAGGCTACTTGTTGTTCTCTTTTGAAACACTTTTCAAAGTATATACAGTTGTTTAATCAAACTGGTTCAAAATAAACAACAGCTTA